ATTGATCATTATTCTCTCATTATTTCCTGTAGTCCCCCTCCCCTTTTTTTTGCTATGTTTGCACAAAGATTAGTCCAATGGGGTCCCAGTACATCATTGTGATACACCGAGCACAGATGGAGCTCTCTAAATAATAATAATAATAATTAAATGATAAATCTCTGATTTCAGATGGCAGCTGTTTTCAAAAATACATTTTTTCTTAACGACTCTGAATTCCCTTATACTTCACAGTTACTCAGAATTAGATGTTTAGGAGGCATGTTTTCCAAAACCTACATTTTTATAAAGTCCACAGAAATCTGGCATAGTTTTAGTTACTGGAAACCAAATGTAGTGTTTGCAGCAATATATATAATATATGTCATTAAGTTTGTTGAAAACAATGTTAGAATAAAAAATAGATGGAACAGCTTAACAAGCCTGATGAGTGCATTGGCAATTTTTTTCCATTCATCAGTTTAACTTATAATAGAAGGTTTCCATAAATATCCATTATAAAACCTTTATTCAATGCAAATAATATAGTCCTTCTGGGTTTTGATTTTTAAGTCCTGGCAAAGCTACAACTCAATGTACATTAGAAAAACAAAACCAACCCCCAAAATCTTTACATGCAACAGTTAAACTATCTGCTTTATCATAGAGCTGAATTTCTGATGCAAATTTCAGGCTGAGGGATAAATGTATCAGAATGAATACAAAAATTTACCTATGGGCCTGGATTTATCCTATGTCCTTATTGCCTAATCCACTAGTCTATGGAAAATCCATGAACCAGTCAATTAGTTGATTAAATTTAACATCCCTAGTCAGAGTTGCATATTTTATTCTAATTTAGTCTTGTTTCAGTGAACAGGAACAAATGCTCTTTTGATCCATTATAACGCCATGCTATATCCTTGAGCGTTAGTGTTTTTAGTAGGATTTAAAGCTGTGTAGCTAGCTAGCACCTTTCACTGTGGTGCAGGTGTTGGGCTGGTCGAGTAAGGGTATGTCTATGCAACAGCTGGAAGGTGTAATTACCAACTTGGGGATGTATGCATTCTAGCTCTGATCAAGATAGTAGGCTTAAAATAGCAAGTATGAAGCAGCTTTGAGTAGCTCTCAAGTACAAGCTGTGATGATGCAGTCAGGGTTCCCCAGTTCCTGCAGCCCGGTAGCAGCAAGAACAGACTCTGCCAGTCGTAGAATAGAGAGGGGTTTATTGTTCCTTCAGGATACAGCACAGCACAAATGTGATGTGGCTACAGAGCCCAGGACCAGGATGCCTCAGACCCTAGGGTTAGGGGTCCATCGCCCCTAGGCCCCCCACTTAGCCTCTTCTCTCCATGCTTCTCTAACAGCAACTGACCCTTCCTCCCAGCCCTGCCCCCCAGCCAAGTGCTGGTCTCTGCCTTCCTCCCTTTGTCTCTCTCCCTGGGAGGCTGAGCCTGGGTGTCTGGGTTAATACACATTTCGGAGAGTCAGTGAGAATCTCACATCACAGTGCAGGGGAACCCTGGGTTACAGAGCAGACAGCACCCCCACTACGCCACACAAGCCCATCCTGAAATCCTAGGAACGTACTCAGGTGGCTAGCCTGAGCTGCTCCCGTACTCTGTTGCTATTTAGTCCTAACTGGGGGGGGAGGGGTCAGCTTTCTAATTGTTGACAACTGTGCCTCCCTGCCATGCCTCTTCCTCTAATGTCCTACCCCCGTTCCATCTCTTCCTCCAGCACCCCCCTTCCCGCACCTGCCTCTTTCCCCTCATTTGCTCCTCTCTTCCCTCTTCCTTTCGGGTCACAGAGCCTGCTGCCTCCCTGACCATGAGATGCAAGTAGTAGTCAGTGATGGCAGAGCAGGGCCTGGTACTGGTTGATAACCCAGTGTCGCTCCCCCCCTTCTCTGGGCTGCAGTACCTGGATCTTGGGTACTCAGTCACTACATCGGACAGGACACTGCCAGGCCCCCTTTTTGACTGTACTTTCTGGTAGAAAACTGGGCACCTGGCAACCCCAGTGCTAACTGCTCACGTGGCTACATTGACATTTTAGCACACTAACTTGAGCCAAGCTAGGACATGCACATGCATGGGCGCCAACTCTGGAACACCCATGGGGAGAAATTAGTAGGTGCTGAGCACCCACCAGCAGCCCAGCTCTCTCCCCTGCACCTCTTGCCTGCTGGTGGCCTCACTGACCAACTCCTCCCCTGCCCTTCCAGCTCTTCTGGAGCACTGTGAACAGCTGGTTTGTGGAGTTCAGGAAGCTCTTGGAGTGAGAAAGAGGAATGGGGATGGGGCATGCTCAGGGGAGGATGGAGCAAGGGTGGGAACTTGGGACAAGGGGTGGAATGGGGTAGAGGCAGAGAAGGGGCAAGGCTTGCGGGAAGAGGTGGAATGGGGGCAAGACCTGGGCATAGTGTGGGCTGTTGAGCACCCCCTGGCTAGAAGGGAAGTCGGTGCCTATAAATACATCTACCCAAGTTGGAAATTACACCTCCCGGAGACATAACCCGAGAGGCTAGACTTGAGCCCAAGCTTCAGCTGAATCAGCATAGTGTATGCTGCCTTGTCTGCCCTCTACTGAAATGTGTTAGCATGTTAACTGGTCTAGTCTGGTCAGCAATATCCTAAATAAAAATGAAACCTTATTACAATAAGATTACTACCTGTGGGATCCACTTGATGCAGTGTTTGTGTTGTTGTAAGTTATTAATGTAACTTCTTGAGGAGGAGGGGACATGCTAATCTAATTCCTTCAGTTATCACCCTTTTTGAGGCTTTGCACTGGGAAGGGGACCCATTGTCTGATTGATTATTTATTCAGGATCTCTTCAGAAGTTCAGGCTGGATTCTCCAGAGAGTAACAGCTACACAAAGGATTCTGCGGTAAATAACTGACTTGGGCTTTTGTTCTGGTCCAGCCAATTGGCAGGCTCTCTAGTCCATGGGAGGTCTTAGCAGTGGGTTGGAAGGACTTTGGCCTACTGAGCGCCATACAGCTGTGTTCTTGTGCTGAACAAAAAGTATGATGATCTTGAAACCAAAGGAAAACCCGGAGGGGGGGGAGGGGGGCGGGGTTTTGAAGGACAGCTTCTGCCAGAGCCCATGTTGTAATGTAGGAGGTAATATAGTGTAAGTTTATCCTCGTGTGTAGGTTCTTTTGGTTTTTTTAATATATTTTCTCTCTAATGTTTTTTCCTTAACAATAAAATAGGCTTGCTTAGGTAGAATGTTATGGTGTGGGCAACTACCCTTATTAGTCTCTGAAGAAAAAGCAAGCAGGCCTGCTTAGACAGACTGTCTTTTGATGGGAATAACAGTGAAGGTGTGGGAATACCCAACTCAGATGGGAGAAAGACAACTGCTTAGGAGCCCTGCTGAGAATGAGGCCCTTGCTGAGCTATAGAGTGGCAGGGGACATAGGTGTAGTTGCCCTGAACAGTGACACGTGGTATTAGAACATGGTTTCTACCCATCTAAGACCAAACTCTTATACCATGATCAGAAAACACAACTGTTATAACATGGTGCCCCCATGCAGGTAACTATATAGTGTAGCCTGGCCATTGAGCATGTTGAAATACCATTTTAAGTTCTTTTATCCCAAAATAATGAATGCTATTTTCAATATTTTAATTTGCAAACCTTACATAAAGATGGGGAAGTTTATTGAAAAGGAGATATCCTAATTCAGACAGAGTGTGGTGAAATAACAAAATACATTAATGAAATTATTGGAATAACTGTGTTGCTGGATGCCTTGTGTCATACAGTGAATATATTAGCACACAAATGGCTGTGCTATGGCGTGCACCATCTGATTGTTAACTTAGCTTCTAGCCTCTATAATGGGAGGAGAAGATATGGCCTGCAGGCCAGATCTGTCCTGTCACGCCTTTTAATTCGGTTTGCTCCTGCAGTACAGAGCAGTTCCATGCTGCTCAAAGTGGCTGGCTGCTCCCTGTGGCTCTCTGTGCCACATGCATGGGGGAGGAGGAGCTTTGTGCACTGCCCCAGTACAGTATCTCAGGTCTTATTGTCCAGAAAGCGGACCAATGGGAGCTGAGAGATGTGCTTGGGGTGGGCGTATTACAGCACAACCTCAGCTCCCATTGGTCAGTTGCCAGTCAATAGAAGCTGAGATTGTGCTGGGGATGGACGCAGTGTGCGACGTCTCCTCTCTCCCTCCAATGCAGAGAGACATGTGGAACAGCAGCTAGTTTGAGTGGCCTAGAGCTGTTGGCAGGCAGGGGAGCCTGCCTGAGAGTCCTGCTGGGCTGCTAGCCAGGAGCTGCTTAGGTAAGTGTCTCCCAGACAGAGCCTGCCTCTGGCACCCCACCCTTTTCCATACCCCAGCTCCCTCCCAGACCCTGCAGCCCCTCTTACACCCTTTCCCCAGGGCAGAATCCTCTCCTGCATCCATACCTCCTCCCAGTCCCTGCACCCCAATCCCCTGCCCCAGGTCACCACTCAAACCCTCTGTACACTCCTCCCCTCCTGCCCCAGGTCACAACCCCTCCTTCACCCAAACACCCTCTCTTGCACCACAGTCCCCTACCCTGAGCTCCCTTCTGCACCCAACCTCTGTCCCAGACCCCATACCTCCTCCACAGAAAAGTGTGGCTTTTGATCACTTACTAAAACCTTGTCATTGCCCTCCCATCAAAAATTCCCCCCCCCACCCAGTATTATTGCCCACCCACAGTGTGTTCTATCAAAGGATGGCAAAATGTACATTGGAATAACCTTTCAGTTTATAGTTGTTTACTGTTCAAGACCCAGGCGAAATGCACCATCTTCATTATCCATATAGCTATTCAATTTGAGACATTCCTCATTGATTTACTTAGTGATGCATGAATTCAATAACTAGAAATGTTAATTATGTGGGTTTTTTTAATTGTTGATTTATTCTTTCACAAAAGTGTTAGCAAGAGTCTTCTGTTCTATTATGCCTATATAAATTTATAAGCAGCATTTTTTTTAATTTTGTTTTTTAATTAAATTTTGCAGACTCAGCTCTTGGGTGTTTTGTTGGCAATCATTGGAAATTTTCTGATTAGTATCTCTTTGAATATCCAGGTATGAAATATTTTTTTCTAATTATTGAGATTTATTTAAATTTTAGTAAATGATGACTGTTTTATTTATTTAATAAAAGTGCTTTTAGAAAAAATAATTTTAATAGTCTACTGAAACTTAGGCTCCCCTATCCCAGTAACTCTCTGATAGTAAAATGGTTTTCTGCTTTTTCTATATTGTGACCTATGATGCAACAGAAGAAAGTTTTTGGGTTCTTCCTTCCAACCAGCCATAAAAACAGACAATCAGATTGCTACACCTTTAGACCTCTTCATGACCCCAACGGGTGATTATGACCAGGGATGAGAGTGTTTAACTGGTTAATCAGTTAAACGATGGGGGCTGGAGCAGCTCCCTACCTGCGATGGGCAGGAGGCTGGCCCAACCCCGCAGGGGGCTGTAGCAGACGTGGCTGCTCCGGCCGGCCTGAACTGGCCCTTCCTGCGGTTGGGCCCAGGCAGCCCCTCCACCCATTCCTCCTTCTAATTGGTTAACCAGTTAACCAATTAAATAGGATTTTACATCCTTAATTATGACCCTCCACTTGAGTACCAGTGTGTTAGTGTGTGCAAATCCCAAAGTGAAGCTGCCCATAAACAAAGGCCTGTTTGTTAGAACTACAGATTGAACCTCCCAAATCAGGGATTCTCTGGTCCGGCAACATCTGTGGTCCAGCAGGACCAGGGATGTTGCTTGACCAAATAGCCCTGGAGCAATGCAGGGGCTGGGAAACCCAAGGTAGGCCAGGCAGCATCTAGGGAGCCTCGGCCCTGGCCCAGAACTCCCGGTGTCAGCGGGGCCAGGTGACAGCCAGGGAGCTCCTGCCTGGTCCAGGGAACCCTCAGTGTTACCAGGGTCACGTGGCCTGGGCTGCCTGCAGCCAGGCAGCCTTGGTCAGGAACCCCAAGAAACCCCTGGTGCCAGTGGGGCTGGAATGACTGGGCAGCATGGGCCAGGGAAGCCTGGCTGAAGCGGGGCTGGTGGATGCAGGTGGCCAGAATCCCCAGCAGCAGCAGGGTGGGGTGGCTGGGTGGCTCTGGTTGGGGAGCCCTCAGTGGCAGCCGGGCCAGCAGTGTCAGGTGGCCCCAGCAAGGAATCCCGGGGAACACCCTGAGGCAGTGGGACCGGCAGCAGTCAAGTGGTCTCCGCTGGGAATCCTGAAGCAGCGAGCAGGCAGGCAGCAAAATGGGGAGCTGTGGCGGACAACTTTAGCGGGGCCAGCAGCAGGGAATGGAGCCTCAAGGAGAGGAGCCCAGGTACCCAGCAGTGGAGCACTGACCTCCCCTGGTCCAGCAAATTCCCTGGTCCAGGACAGCTCAGGTCTCGAGGGTACTGGACCAGGAAGGTCCAACCTGTGGCCTTGTACATGATTTAACACACAGTGTGCATCTTTACTGAACCCATAGCTCAAATAATTTATGCAATTTGAGCTACGCAGCTTATTTTTTGAGTCAATTTTGAAATTTGGTGCTGTCTATGTAGCACTTGTTTCGAAATAAATTGCTATTCTAGAACGTCCCTTACTCCTCGTGGAATGAGGTTTACAGGAACGTTGGAATAGCGAGCCCGCTATATTTCGAAATAACAGGAGCACTCAAAATATGCGCAGTTGCTATTTTGGGATAGCTCTGGTATCCTGAAATAGCACTGCAGTGTAGGCGAAGCCTTACTTAAATGTTTGCAAGGTTGGGGCTGAAAGCAGTTCTAACCAGCCTAGTTTCATTGTGCAAGCTGACGGAAACACTAATATTAAATAGCATAAATGACAAAATAGCAAACTAAGAATATCTTTGCAACTTTTTCTTCAAAAATAATCTCCTGAGCCCACTTGGGCTGTTGGTAGGATTAAGGATTACAGATGTGAATTTTTAAAATCTCTTTTGTTTTAATAATTTGCTACTAGTCAAACAATAGCAATTTTATAGTGTTTTTTATTTTCAAAATATTCCTTTAAATATTGTAAGTAGTCTTACCAATGAGTGTTTACTGACAGAATCCATGTTTGCGTCTTTGAATATTTAACCTCCCCCCCCCAAAAAAAATGCTCACAAAATTACTTAGGCAATATTGTATCCAGCTCCCTTAGTATAAAACTGACTTTGTATATTAAGGATGCAACTGCAAAGCTTTCTCTGACAAAAATCTCATTTACACAGTTTTTCATAGAAGTCGTGGAGTATAAAATTCACTAATATACCTTTTTATTCAAACAGGGAACTTCTTCACCAGCCCACTCCTATTTTCTTAAGTGGATTTTAAGGCTTTAGAATTATCTAGATTGACAGCCCTAGAAACAGAAGTACTGTACTCTGTGTAGCCTCAGACCCCTTGTACTTTATCATTGCCCTGAGACACTGCCAGTGTTCCTCAGTTCTGGTTGGAGACTAGGATCTCTCTGACAATGAGAAAAATCTCCCTGCTGATTACAATGAAAGTCTGATCAAGGCCAGGATGAACACATAATTCTGAGTCTTTGTCCATAGATTCATTTAAAGTGAGGTTTGTAAGGTGAACCTTTGCTAGGAAATACATTGAGAATACACAGGCCTGCAAACAACCATTATCTTGTATTTATTAAAAGCATGGCCTGGATTTGAACTGAAGCATCTTTTTTTTTTCCTCTAAACATTGTGTACAAACCTAATGAAGGCTTACTCCCTCTCTCCACGGATAAAACAATTGCAGCAGAAACTTTTATTGTCCTATAAAAATGACATTACCCCTTGATAATGCATTGTTTTTAAATGGTCACTTGACTTCCTTAAACCCCAACATTTATTTTCCTATTAATTTTAATGAGAAATAGGCCAAATTTTGTTACTCTTCGCTATCCCAACCACTAAACGAGTCCTTCTTGTCTTCTCTCTTATCCCTTCCAAAAAGCAGTCTGCAAATAAACACAACACAAATTTGTGACTTTATGAAAATACCCTAAGAACTCCCATGTGGGCAAAAAATACTTGAGCATGAGCAATTGAATAGAGGAGGATGTGTAAGAGTTGCCAGTGAATTGAGGTTGTATGATCAAATATATTGAAGGTGTCTCTTGATGCACTCTAGAGTTCTTCTCAAGGATTCCATGTGGTTTTTTGGGAAGGGGGGGAGTGACAAATGCGGGCACAATCAGAGCTCATCAGAAATTTCCTTGGTAACTGTTTTTAATAGAAAACTAGGTTTTTGACTAAATGGAATTTCTCACCAAATGTGTCAGTTTGCTGTGGATTACTTTTTTAAACTGAAGCCCAAAAATTGAAATACCTGAGATAAAATCCAAACCTTGTTGCTTGTGAAATGCCACTCGGGTGTCTCATGAGAGTTGTAGTTCAGTTGCCTCATCCTCCCATTCTGCTTCATGGCCAGGACTTCATTGCTGGATGACATTCCACAGGGAACACTGTGGCCGTGCTGTTGCTATGCTGCACTTCCTTCCCTCATCAAGAGGAGAGATACAATGCAATGGTGGGCAGCATGTGGCCTACTGGGGTTCTATGTGTGGCCCATAACATATTTTGTTTACCATTGCCCACACACAAAGTTGCCAGATTTTGTTGGTTTCCATCCATGGAGGGTTTTTTCCCCAACTGATATTACAAAAGTGACACACATTTAAACCAAGCACATGTAAAGTGAGGTGTGCGCTGTTTGCACACAACATTGGGAGAGCCATGCACTCCCTCTGGAGATGATCAAAGTACGGCTATGGTTCAGTCAGCACCCCTCTCAAATTTTAGGTATGCAAGCGCTATCCCGGGAGAACTTCTTAATTATGACAATCTTGTGGCCCGCTGAGATGAAGGAAGGCCACTCATGTGGCTCACTTGCTAGCCTAACTTACCCTTCACTGCCATGATGCATCATGAGAGCCCAGCCTCTAGAAGAGAATGGGAGCATGAGACACCTGAACTACAACTCCCATAAATTAGCATTTTCAAATCAAAATGTTTTGGTTTTAGTTTTTTTCCCCAAAAAAATTTAATTTTCCACTAGGAAAAAGGCATTTTTCCAACCAATTGGAACCTCTTGGTTACTACCTCTTATGCTATGCAGAAGGGCTGGTGAGAAATTTGGCTTTATATGTGGGACTGTATAGATTACTATTTATATATGTATTTGTAGTAACATGGTACCTGGGAGCCTTCGTCATAGACCAGGACCACATTGTACTAGATGATATACAAACTAGGGATGTTAAATTTAGATTGATTAAGTAATCAAATACAGGCAGTCCCCGGGTTACATGGATCCGACTTACATCGGATCCCTACTTACAAACGGGGTGAGGCAACCCCACACTAGCTGCTTCCCCCCAGCAGACCAGGGAGACGCGAAGCTAGCGCCCCCTTCCCCCAGCAGACCAGGGAGACGCGGAGCGGCTTTTCTCAGCAGACACCTCAGCTTGAGAATAAAGGACTGAGGGAAGTGAGGTGTGGGAGAATAAAACTGAGCTCTGGAGAAATGTTTGGCTAGAGTTTCCCCTACAATATGTACCAGTTCCGACTTACATACAAATTCAACTTAAGAACAAACCTACAGTCCCTATCTTGTACGTAACCCAGGGACTGCCTGTACTGAATGGGCTTTCCATCAACTACTCGATTAGTCAATAAGAGCACCTCAGCCTTTGCACTGTAGCAAGAGCCCTGCAGGGAGTGTGAGGCCATTGGGGGACTGGCCTTGTGCTCCCTGCAGCACCTGAGCCTTTGAAATACACAAGACCTCCATTGGGGCTGTTGTACGTTTCAAAAGCAGAAGCCCCACAGGGAGCACGGCACCAGTGGGGACTCCCCTGCTGGCCCCACGCTCCCTGCGGTATCTCAGCATTTGAAATGTTCAAGAGCCCCAATGGCGGTCTTGTGTATTTCAGAGAACTGGTGTGAGCAGAGATGGCTTCAGTCCCCACTCATGCTGTTTCCTGCTGTGCCTCTACCTCTCCAACCCCCGCCCAACCCCCATGGTGACAGTGCTGAGGGGAACTGGCTTTTAAGACAGCTCCCCCCAGCACCGGCTCCTGCTTCTCCCCCTTCCTACTTCTCTCTGATAGAAACAGCCAGGGGAGGGGGGGGGGAATCACTAGTCGACCATCCGATAAGCTTATGCTTATTGGATGGTCTACTAGTCACTTACATCCCTAGTACAAACACAGAACAAAAAATGGCTCCTGCTTCAAACAATTTATAATCTAAATATAAAACGAGATGACACATGGATACAGACCAATGGGAGATTACACAGAAACTCAGACAATATTAGGCATGATGATAGGCAGGTTATCATGTACTAGCAAGACTAGCTTAGTGAAAATTGCATAACAACCCAATAATGATGCATTCTTAACTATCACCTACTCACTTCTTTTAATAATTTCAGTGCAGCTGGAGCTGTATTTTAGAAGACTTGAATGACCAAGATGGTCAAAACGTCCTGTCACGGGACAATTCTAGCTAGAAAACCAAATAGAAAACAATCACCATGCAAGTAAATAGTACTTTTGCCCTATAGAAATGGTTGTTGACAAACTGTTATTTGCCTATGTTCTTACTGTACTGTTGAAACAGAAATATGATTAAGATATTTGGAACTCAGAGAGTGTTGACAAACTTTATTGTACTGAGACTAAATCAATCCAGATTATATTTTATAATGCACTGTTTATTTTTTGTATAGAAGGTGATCATGGCCCAAATCCTGTTTGCTTTACTGAAGTGTGTAATCCTACTAAAGACATGCATGAGTTTGGCAGGCAGAATTAGTTCCTCCTGATACTAGCCAGGCTTCATTGGGCACTGTTTTATTCTGACATTGTCTTTGAATCTACTTCATGGATCAGCTAGAAGAAAGACATTCTTCTCTGGCCAACTTCACCTGGTTTGTGGTTTTAGCTTCATACATTTGCATTGCTACTTAGGAAATCTTTTTTTTTTCTTCCTGAAACGCCCTTTGAAATAACATCAGAGGCATATAGTGCTAGTCACCAGACTATATATAACCTCAGAGTCCTTTGATATTTTTTCAGGTGAATTTATTTAATGGGCTAGATTTTTCATCATTTCATACCAGGTTATTTGGTTAAGGAAACATCAAGCTAAAGTAGCATTGTATTAGTACAAAGCACTATGTCTGCAACACCAAACTGAAACTAATTAGAGAGAGAAAGAGAGAGAGGGAAAAAAAGAGAAAATCTTGACATACCTGGAATTTGAAGTTGACAGGCCCCATAATTACTCAAATTGTATTCTATGTATTAATACAATGAAAGCTTCTTTTTCATCTGTTCCTAATAATTAATTTCCAGAAATATGCTCATCTCCAACTGGCATGTCAAGCAGATCAAAAGCCGTATTACACAAGCACACTGTGGTGGTGTGGAATTAGCCTCATGGGTCTTGGAGAACTGGGGAATGCTGCAGCTTATGGATTCGCTCCAGCCGCCCTTATAGCTCCATTAGGATGCGTATCCGTCATAGGTGAGCTGGTTTTCCATGTTTTATTAATGTAGCTATTTCACAGAACACTTGTTAGTGGGAAGTATTAAAAAAAATACAAAAGGAATTGGAGAGAAAAGAGAGAAATTGACAGGAAATAGCGCATTACAGTATGGAAGTGAATTAATTTTACAATTAAATAGGATGAAAATTTAAAATAAGCTCCTTGACCAATACAAAAGATTCCATGTTAATCTAGCCCGTAGTTTGGCTTAGTGATCTGGGATAATTCTGTGCAGAACTACACTGGGAAAAGGTCAATAACCACGTGTTTGAGGTACCTCATACTTGGGGCCTGAGCAATGCCCATTGACATCGACAGAAGTTGTTCCTTTGACTTCAGTGAGCTTTGGATTCAGCCTTTTGTGCTTAACTACTTTTCTCTGCCTGTCCTATAGGGTACGTCTAGACTACATGGGTCTGTAGTCGGCAGACCCTGTAAGCCTCATTTCAGCAGATCCACAAGGCGTGAAACGAGGCTTACAGGATCTGCTGACAAAGCATTCTGGGGTCGGCAGATCTCCGTCTAGACTGTGGCGCTGTGCCAACAAACAGCTGATCAGCACAGCATGGCGGCCATTTTGGTTGAAATGAAGCTGCTATTATTTAAATCGCCGCTTCATTTCCCTTTGTCATCCTGCCTCATCTACATGGCTCTGTCGACGGAGCCATGTAGTCTACACATACCCATACAGTTGCCTCTCACCGTGGCATCAGGTAGCTTTCCCCTGCTGTCCCTTGCACATCACCATCCTCTCTATGCCAATGGTCTCCAACCTTTTTAAACACAAGATCACATTTTGAATTTAAGTGCAATCCAAGATCTACCTCAAACTCAAATATCCTTGTTCCATCTCCTTTGTGCTCCTTGCCCTTCCTCTCTCTGAGGCCCCACCCCTGCTCACTCCATTCTCTCTCCCTCCCCCATCCTCACTCACTTTCACCAGGGTGGGGCAGAGGTTTGGGGTGCAGGCTCCGGTCTTAGAGTAAGGGATTTAGAGTGTGAGGGACTCTGAGTCTTAGAGTAAGGGATTTAGAGTGTGAGGGACTCTGAGCTAAGCTTAGGGCAGGCAGTTGGCTTGCACGAGGGGGTTGGTTCTAGGTGCATGCCCTGGAAGGGTGTTTGGATGCATGGGGGCTCAGGGCTAGGGCAGGGGCTTGGGATGTAGTAGGGGGTTCATGACTGGGGGAGAGGGGTTCAGGATGTGGACTACAGCTGGGCAGGGCTAAGGCAGGCTCACCGCTTCCCTAGCCCTGCCTCACTCTCAAAAGCAGCCCGCCAACCTGCTCTACCTCTAGTCCTGTTGTGCCCCCTCTCTGATCTGTGGTGATGGGATACAGGGTGGAAGAAGGGGGCACCTTGACATCAGCACCTTCCTCTCCCTCTCCTGCCCTGCGCATCAAGCAGGAGGCTTCTGGGGGAACAGCTCCAAGGCAAAGGGCCAGAGATGCACAGTTGAAATGCCAGCAGTTGATAGCCATGGGGCCAAACCAGTTAGGATCACCTGTCAGAGGCTGTAAGATCTACCAGTAGATCCTGATCTACTGGTTGGTGACCACTGCTCTATGCTCTACTGTTGGCTTCCCAAGCACAGCTGCACTACCATGGTTAAACACTGCTGAGCCCTTGCTCCACAGTGAATGCCAAATTGTGCTTCTCCTCAAATTAGCATCTTTGGTTCCTCCTATCTTTTAGGAAGCTTACTAAGGGTGTAAACTGTTCTATTTCTTCTGATAGAAGGCCTGTGTGATTAGAGAGGGTTACAGAATTCCAGAAACCTCCACTTTATTCTGGGACATTACAAATGCTGCCATCTTGTGCTTTCATAGGACAAATGAACAGACCTTTCAAATAATTGTTCATACCAGGACCTTTTATTGTTAAGGCATTTAAGCACCCAATCACAACAGGACCAAAATGTTTTAATAATTTTTATTATGGTGGTGATATTTCATTTATATTCTTTATGTTCTGGTAAGGAGGAGAGGATGGAAGATGACTAAACATGGTTAAAATCAGATGATTGAATATGGTTACAATCAGATGAGAAACAGTCAAATGAAAAAATGCCATTCAGACACATCAGGAAATGGCAGACAGCTAAGTAGTGACAAATTTTTAAAGTGCTTGTACACAAATGCTAAAAGTCTAAATAATAGAATGGGTTAACTAGTTTGCCTTATATTAAAGGAGGGTATTGATATAATAGGCATCACAGAAACTTGGTGGAATGAGGACAATCAATGGGACACAGTCATACTAGGGTACTAAATATATCGGAAGGACAGAAAGGGGTGTGGCACTATGCGTGAAAGAAGATGTAGAATTGAAGTAAAAATCTTAAATAAACCAAAATGTTCCATAGAATCCCTTTGGGTAGTAATTCCATACTCTAATAATAAGAATATAGCAGTAGGAATATATTATCGACAACCTGATCAGGACAGTGATAGTGACTATGAAATGCTAAAGGAGATTAGAGAAGCTATAAAAATAAAAAAACCTCAATAATAGAGGGTATTTCAACTATTCCTATATTTACTGGGTACACATCACCTCATGATGGGATGCAGAGGTAAAGTTTCTTGATACCTTAAATGACTGCTTCTTGGAGCAGCTAGTTCTGGGATCCACAATGGGAGAGGCTATTGATTTAGTCCTAAGTGGAGCACAGGTGAATATAGCTGAACCTCTTGGAAATAGTGATCATAATGTAATCAAATTTAACATCCCTGTGGTGGAAAAAACACCTCAGCAGCCCAGCTCTGTGGCATTTAATTTCAGAAAGGAGAAGTACACAAAAATTAGGAGGTTTCTTAAACAGAAATTAAAAGATACATTGTGTAAAGGAAAATCCCTGCAAGCTGCATGGAAGCTTTTCAAAGACACTGTAAGAGAGGCACACTTAGTGTGTGTTGTACCTGCAGCCATGTTCTTTCGAAAGTGAATTGAAAGAACTCAGCAGTTTTTTCGATCACGGTAAACCTCATTTTAAAAGGAATAACACCTTTTTTTGAAAGTACTCTTTTGAAAAAAGGCGCTATTGAATGCAAACTGTGCTTTTTCGAAAGAGAGTGTCTAGACTCTTTCAAAAGAGTGGCTCGCTTTTTCAAAAAATCTGCTTGTAATCTAGATGCTCTCTTTCGCAAGAGACTTTTTCAAAAGATTCTAGACGTAGCCTTATGTTTCAACTTATCTGCCCAATCTGTAATTGTCTGGATCAATTTTGCCTTAGGCAAATTACAACACACACTAAGAAAACCAAAACAATGCCACCGAGGCTTAACCATGAAGTAAAAGCAGCAGTGAGGGAGAAAAAGGCATCCTTTAAAAAGTACAAGTTAAATCCTAGTGAGGAAAATAGAAAGGAGCACAAACTGTCCAATTAAGTGTCAAAATAGAATAAGAAAAAACAAAAAGGAGTTTCAAGAACAGTTAGCCAAACACTCAAAAAATAGTAGCAATTTTTTTTTGTATATCAGAAGTCAGAAGGTGACTAAACAACCAGTGGGCCACTGGACAATCGAGATGCTAAAGTAGCCTTCAAGGACAATAAGGTAATTGCGGAGAAACTAAATGAATTCTTTGCTTCAGTTTTCATGGCTGAGGATATTGAGGAGATTCCCAAACCTGAGCCATTCTTTTTAGGTGACAAATCTGAGGAATTGTCCCACATTGAGGTCTCATAAATTGATAAACTTAACAGTAACATGTCACTGGGACCAGATGGCATTCATCCAAATATGAAATTGTGGAACTATTAACTGTTGTTTGTACCCATCCTTTAAATCAGCTTCTGTACCTAATGACTGGAAGATAATTAATATGATGCCAATGTTTAAAAAGGGCTCTAGAGATGATCCAGACAATTACAGATTGGGCAGATAAGTTGAAACGTAAGGCTACGTCTAGAATCTTTTGAAAAAGCCTCTTGCGAAAGAGAGCATCTAGATTACAAGCAGATTTTTTGAAAAAGCGAGCCACTCTTTTGAAAGAGTCTAGACACTCTCTTTCGAAAAAGCACAGTTTGCATTCAATAGCGCCTTTTTTCAAAAGAGTACTTTCAAAAAAAGGTGTTATTCCTTTTAAAATGAGGTTTACCTCACTGGAACCAGATGGCATTCACCCATGTGTTCTGAAAGAACTTAAATGTGAAATTGTGGGACTATTAACTGTGGTTTGTAAGTTATCCTTTAAATCAGCTTCTCTACCTATTGACTGGAAGATAACTAACGTAATGCCAATATTTAAAAAGGGCTCTAGAGGTGATCCTGGCAATTACAGACCGGTAAGTCTAACATTAGTACTCGGCAAATTAGTTGAAACCATAGTAAAGTATAAAATTATCAGACACATAAGTCAACATAATTTGTTGGGGAAAGTCAGCATGGTTTCTGTAAAGGGAAATCATGCCTTACTAATCTGTTCTTTAAGGGAGTCAACAAGGAGGTGGACGAGGAGGATCCAGTGTATTTAGATTTCCGGAAAGCCTTTAACAGGGTTCCTCACCAAAGGCTCTTCAGTAAAGTAAGTTGTTATGGGATAAGAGGGAAGGTCCTCTCATTGATTGATAACTTCTTAAAACAGTGGGGGGTTTTATGCCAGGGACTGGCAAACTCATTCATAAACCTTTGTCAGACTGGTGACATTTTATTCACATATTTGCATATTCATTATTTAAATAATGAATCCCTAACATCCTTTGACTCCCATTGCTACACCCCGTGTCCTTAATCTTTTAACATTTGACTGTACTGGCAGTCAAAAAAGCAAACAGGATGTTAGGAATCATTAAAAAAGGGATAGAGAGTAAGACGGAGAATATCTTATTGCCCTTATATAAATCCATCATACTCCCACATCTTGAATACTGCATACAGATGTGGTCTCCTCATCTCAAAAAAGATATACTGGCATTAAAGAAGGTTCAGAGCAACTAAAATGATTAGAGGTTTGGAACCAGTCCCATATGAGGAGAGAT